CCCCCCCCCCCCCCCCCCCCCCTTAAGATGCTAGTCTCTCTAAGGCTCCAGAAATAGGAGGAGATTTCCAAAGCAGGATTTGGACTGTAAGCAGTCTGAACCAATCTCTGGGAGAATCCCTCTCACTTTTGAGAAGTGTTACCACACCCATTGGAAGTAATATCAGGTGCCTAGAACAAGGTAAATTCAGGACAAAATTTTGAATTTTATCAGTAAGACATGACTCCTTTCTATGCAGTTTTATTTTTTCACCTCCGCAGGTGGTTGCAGTAGCATAAATGTGTTTATCCTCACACACCTTGATTTCCTTCCCCATATACTAAAGTGAGATCACTTTTAGATTTGTTCTTCAGAAAAAAATAATCACGTTTCCCAATTCAATTGCTGATGTGTATCAGAAATTTGCCTCTGCAAGCGGTGTATTTATAAATAGCCAAAATTCATACTTTATGACCTCCAAATCTAGAACTCAGACACAGCTTTGCATCTTTTGAGCAGACCTAATTAGAAATGGCATACTGCAGTGGCAGAACACACCTACATGCATGTAAGACTTTCTTTGAAAGTTCCCATCGGTATTTTTTAAAAATTATGAGTATATAGAACATTTACAAAGAAAGATGGTTAGGTTTTCAGATGTTTTGTCTTATGAATTCAAATAACTTTCCTGAGTATTTGACTAGTAGTAGAGAAGCCTTACATACTCTTACCAAAGCTTTCTGAAGTTTCCTGGAGAACACCGCATGCAAGGGATGCACTGGCTGCTAATCTACCTGGTTGCACCAGTATGTATGAACAAAACTCCTTAACAGAACCAAGAATTTCCTGCTTTTTACTTACAGGATTTCTATTCTGCTACATATAGCAAACCCATTATTTCAGGCTGTAAGGAAAGAGTTAAGCTTTAATAGATCATGCTATAAAGACTCAGCATGTTGTACAAGAACTGCTTTAATTCACGTGTTAAAAATCAGAGGGACATTAATTATCGCAGTGCTTACAGTCATTATCCTGACAGCCTACAAACTGGAGAGGGTGCTTAACTTCACAGGAAAGTGAAAAGGTTGCTTTTGAGAGCAATTAAAACATCTCTGTCTATCAGGGAATAACCTATTATGTCAAAACATGAGAGTTTCATGCTGCCTGCTTTCTACACAATACTGTCTTGCATTAGTTCTCATGCTTTAGATCACTTCTTCCTTTTCACCTTTTCTTCCAGGCAAACCAGGAGGCCTTAGTGCTTCAGAATCAGGAGACACTATTTCAGGCAATCTCTCACACAGACTAAACTACCTCAGATTCTTCTACAACTAGGTTTTCTACCACAGCACCAACATTTTTCAACAATACTTTTCCTTCCTATACAACTTTTTAATGCTTACTTTTCGCTCATGTAAATTCATTTTGTAACCATTATCCTCTTTGATTTCATGGTCAATGCATTAGTTTAAGTGACCTCTTTCAGGATGCTTCTTGAAGGCGTGTTAACCAGAAAGAATCCATTATGAACGGATTTGTTTGCTCTACATTATGTGAGTTGGCTAGAAGCACACAAAATTACAGCTCTAGCTGGAAGGGGCTCTCTTTGTTGTCAGTTTTGAAACAGGCAGGAGAACTGGAATCATAACATATTCTTGGAAATCCATTACATGTTTACAATTTAGTATTAAGAGTAAGTGAAAGTTATATGCATTTAGGAAAAGGTTTTAAAGCAACTGCATCCTTCTAAAATGTCACATATTTGTTGTACACACATAAAGCAAAACACCACCACATTTAAAAATCAGAACACCACCATGGGTGATTTTTTTTGTTTGTTTGTTTTTTCTTTTTCTTTAAATTACAAACTAGAATTTTGACAGTACATTTATAATAATTCTAATAAGTCTATATGAAACCGAAATATCATTTTAATATATTACCACAGTTCACACATACATAGAGCAAAAGGTAAATATTCCTTCTGTTTCCTCAACTGAAAACTTTTTTAGAAATATGTATGCATTTAAGAAAGATTCATCTTCCAAACCCACTATTTGATACAATAGAACATGCTGCTCTTATTTTTTCCAACACCTTTTTAAAACAACACCTCAGTAAAATACCTTATTTTCTGCAATAAACAAGCAACATTTATTACCGTCTCCTTTTCGTGGTTTAACAGAGCTGACTTCTTTTCCAAACTGGAAATCTGCATCCTGTAACAGACCACTGTCTCCTTGCATTTCTTCCTCTATCCCACTCTCAGATGAGTGACCACTCAATGTCCCTTCATTCCAGTTTTTATAGTTTTCATCAGAATTTTTTCTTCTGTGTTCCCTATTTCTTCTGCCCAGCACTGATTCCAGCTCTGTACTTCCATCTGTGCTTGTTCCATTACAGGCTTTAGGTTGAGGAAAATGTTGCATTACAAATCCCACAAACTTCTTTCCTCTTTTAGCAGCTTCATTAACCTGTATTTGTAACAGAAATTTATCTGCAAAGTGATTTTAGAATTGCACGTAACTTTAAAAACCCCAAAACTTGTATATACATGTTATGTTTAACTAAATCACTGATTTTCAAGAGTGTAAGAGACAAAACACTACTATAGGAGGATGGCTTGTCTTTGTACACTGCCCATGTTTCAAAGTAAATGGAAGTCTTCCAGTATGTCTTTGGACTCAGGCCAAATAAGGTGGGCAACACTGGTACTGACTTCAGTGTATACAAAATCCTTCATTTAGAACAAAACCAAAGCATTTTACTTGCTGTGTCATAGTGATAAGCAGTATAGCCTGGTGCAAGAATTAGTACTGTTTCTCTAAACATGTGATACCAGTCATATTAAAATTACTGACCACAAATACTACAGAAATATCCATTTGTCATGCATCATGATTCATTATCCCCTGGTTCCCTTAGAGGCTACTCAGCTTCACTATTACTGAGAATAGTGAAGGAGCAGAGAAAGGAGGGAGCTAGAAGCAAATTAAAATCCTCTTAACTCTGCTTTCAGCCAGTGGTGGGTCGTCTTCTCCGCACTCAAGTCTCCAAATACAACTGTAGAACACATGCCACCTATGGGATGTGTCTGTTCTTGGAGAGGGGGCTTTTGCTGGGGTAAGGAGTGCTGCTGTTTAGGAAGGTGATCCCATTGCCATCTCGTGCAACAAGCTCCCCTGTGCAGTAAAGCATTTCCAGGAAAATACAGAAAACCCAGCCCAGAAAGAAGAAATCACTTGGGAAATACTGGATTAGTGACAGCAGAGACAGCAGGATCTCTACCCAGTTAACTCAAACTATTATTCAAGAGAGTGAATAACACTCAAACAGCTGATGGTACTACAACTTCTTTTTAGTACCGTGATAGACTGAAGTGTTATTATCTACCATCATTATGTATGTACAGCAATGACATGATATGCCAATCACTGATTATACAGAGCTACTGCTTCCAAGACAACCAAAATAATTTTAAATGTGACAAGCAACATGCAGAAAGAGAGGTAATGACCACAATCTTTTTCCTGATATGCCAAAGTCTTATGGGTTCAGATCTTTCAAAAAAAAAAAGTAAATTTATACTGGATTACCAGCTCAGTCTTTTTAAAACACTGGGAGCATTTTAAAAATAATTTTATTTTCACATACTACTTCTGTTCCAGATTTCCTTGCAAGACAATCACTGCTAATTTCAAGTATATTTTCCTTTAAATGTTTGCTGGTATGCTATACAACCAAACTGGCAATATGCATATAGTGTAATGGAATCCGCCTTTAAACTTGAAACACCTGAAGATTTCAGAACAAGCCATTTAGAAATTTAAAACAACTCTGTGATCATTTCAAAGAACATTAAACATCTCCAATAAGCTGCTTCTTTGACTTCTTTCCGTGGCAACTAATGTAAAAGATATCACTCCAACTCTTCTAATAACAATGGTTTCCTGTTTCACTAAGTTTTCAATTTTGTAGAGGAAGTTAAACACGAAAAGAACTAGAACTTGCATTCCAGTGGAAGTTTAGTTTTCTTAAACTACACAGTATTTTCAAAAGCTGTGCCAAATGTTTAATACAGTTACTGTGTATTTTATATTTCTGTTAAAGAACGAAAAAAATCACTTAGAAAAGTAATATGTCTTGTTCATTAGGGATGCCTTCCTTAACCCAGAACAACACAAAACTTCAGATGTCTAAATTTATTAATGTATTAATTTTATTATTTTATTAATATTTATATTAATTCCAGAAAAAGCTATCATACAAGCATCTTATAAAGATTGACTGAGAGAGTTTGGGCCTGATTCTGCTTTCAGCGGTATAAGTGGCCAGTCTCCCAAAGCTTTACAGGGCTTAAGTCCTGTAAGTCCTAAATTAGAATAAGCAACTAGCGAAGAAAAGTAACTACTTTCGCAACAAGAAAAGACTTTGTAGCTTCTTATAAAACAAACCAAGGTTAAAACTCAAAACTAACAAAACCATCAACCACTAAATATAAAACTTATATGTAAGGTAAAAATAAAAGTCTGAAGAGAATTTGAAAAAACTCTCCATTACCTTTTCTAATAGTTCTTTCACCACCTCACTTGTCAATGTTTCATACATTAAAGGACATTCCTCAATCACCAGCCTGGGGTGCCTTTGTCCTCTGGGTGCTACATGCTTCTGGCTAGAAGAAAAAGAAAGAAAGCAGTCTTTGTCAGTAGTTTGCTGCTAACTTGGGCAAATACTTGCATAGAGAATTCTTTTCTTTTGGAACAGTTATGAATGAAATACTGGCAATGCTTCTTCATACTTTTATTTATAACTTGGCAGTTTTTGGCATTTTGTCCTGCTTCTTACAAAGTGGCAAGTACTGTGTATTACAATGTCAGGGTAAGAATATTAGTATTTAAAGGAATTTAATCTGAAGACTATCACTAGATATCTTTTGGTAACTAAGCTTTACTGACAAAGAGCCCCACTTCTGTAATAAACAAACCCAAAAACCTCCAATAATGCAAAAAATAGAAGTTTAAGCTATAAATGTAGCAAGCACAAAACAGATTGAATTTTCTAAAACACACACTATGAATAGAAATGGTACTTTTACACTGTTAACATGCTGCTGTTCGGTTTCTGTAACTACAGCAGAGTTGCAGCTACTGTATGAAATACAATGTAGGCAAATACTAGAAATATAATACATTAACAATTACTTTGGGTTAGGTAATATTTAAATCGTTCAGATTTGAGGATTCAACAAGCTTTAACTCCCATTTAAAGTTGAAGAATAGTACTAACCATGTTTTATCTAAAGCCAGTTAGGTTGTTACTTGGACAATATACATATATTGTGTGTGTATATATATCACAATATATCAGTATATCAATAATATAATGGGACTTTATTTGATGTTTCCCTCATGCAATCTTTTGCTTTAGAATGAAACATCAAAGCTACACACACAAATATAAAAGTTTACTTTCCAGATAGCAGTTGGAGAAAAGGTGTATTTGTCTACAGAAAAACCAACACAGGTACACATGGCACCTGCATAGGAAACTGGCAACCTACACCCAACAGTTTTACTTGCAGGCTGCAGTCTTGCCCTTCACCTATTCAAGGGCCTAGAAGTTCAAACCACCACTTCATAAGGATCCTACATCTATAGGGATAAGGTGAGTTGCGGGAGCTGCACACTGGCAATATAAGCTCTTAGAAACCTCAGCTCCAGAGAGCAAGTATTCTGCTTTTCTTACCCAAGCATTTGCCCACATGGACAACATTCACTTTGTTTGCAGATGACTTTTATAAAGGCAAGTTGTATGAACAGCAAATACCATGGACAATGCTTGTTTAAGCAAAGTGTTTAAGAAGCTCCCTCAAATGAACCATGTTTTACAGAAGCTTTACTGGAGTGCAAGGCGCACCTTCCAACTCACACCCTTCTCATTTTCCAAAAGAAAATGAAAGAACCTCTGTGCATTGCAATAGGACTCAGGAGAGAAGAGGAAGCACGACAGCTCTTAATGCAGTAAGAAATCCACTTTTCTAGCTATTCACAATAAGAACAAAAGGTTATTTTTTTTTCATTCAAAGGAGACAATAGTAAAAATTCTTTGCACATTTTCTATATGATCACATGGTGATCACAATGCTGTGAAAACAAAAGTAATGAACACTATGGAGCTGGAACACAAACAAATTCTTAACTCTCCCTCAGTGTCAAAACCAAGCTTTTGATGCCCCCATCACAGAATGATTACTGCCTTCTTAAGAAGGAAAAATGAACTCTGACAAACTAATTCACACTTTATAGGCAATTTTCCCTGAATAATGCTCTCTTTTATGGGAAAAGAGAAATCATGAAAGTTTTGAAAATGAAGAAAAACCAGACATGAGAGAATTTAAAGCAGCTTACTACTCTTAGTGTTTTGTTTAATCTTGTACTCGCTGCGCGTTCTAGACAGATAATAGTTATAAAAGTGCTTTAAAAATAAAGGGGTAAACTAAAAATTTATCTTCCCAAAAATTATGATAAGCAGCTTTGGATTTTTGTTTGGACATTTACTAAGGCAAAGTAAAAATTAGCCTATTGTGTGCTTAGTGTTACTGAAAAAACATTACCGACTTGCTTACCTTTCTAGACAAGGAAGAGTTATTTGATTCTCTGAGGTGCTCATTTCAAATTGGTATTAAATTATGCACATTGAGCAATCCACTTACAAATGGCTTTAATAATGGACTTCAAATATTCAAATTATTTCACTGTTACCTTAATTTTAATCGTGAAAGTACCACTCGATACATGTGACTTGCAGGAAAATTCCTTCTATGTCCAATTGGCAATATAATAGGATGAACAGCTCCTACAACATATCCTTTGCTGTAATATTCTTCCACCTTAGATGCTATATCCAACACAGAATTGATCTTGATAACTTCTGGATTTGAGGAAGCTAAAAGCACAAAAGCAGAAGAGAAGCACATCATACTGTGTATGTCCATATACTTTTTGGTGAGTTCCTTTTATTTAAACCACACAAAATCTATCCCAAGGCATTTACTAAAAAAGCTACAGTTGTATCAGTACAAGAAAAAGCAGATTCACAGCTGATTCAACAGTATTCAACTCGTTGAAGTACATATTTTTACAAGTTAATAATATCTATTTTTAATCTATTTGGCAACACTTTTTGTTGGATCTAGCTTTGCCAAGATAAGAGCTGCACATCAACATCTAAACACACAATAGGTCTGAACTTAAAGCAACTATTTTGCCTAGCCAAAACCTTAAACATAGTGAAGTAGTATCCTTCAACCCTAGTTGTGACGTAAATTCCCATAAAATGAATTTAAGCCTAAAACAATTGGTTTGTTGTTCTTAAATACTTTTTTCGATCTCTTAGAAGCAATCTGTGGATTGTAGATTGAAATTTTAACATAGTCCCAATTCCTTTTTCCAGTAGACCTAAGCACATGTCATCTAAGGAAGCTATGTGGTGTTACTAGTTTCTAAGGAGCATCCCTCTTGGCATGCGCAAGCATTTCCAATCAATAGGCAACAGCTAGGTACTACAGAGCTATTGGAGGAAACTACATAAAGGGAAAACTTTTTGGAGAACCTTTTTTGAATGGTCTGATCCACAGCTTTTGCACAGAGAAAATGGAGATTCCTCACTAGTAATAGCTTATCATATTCCGCCACAGTATGTCTGATGGTCAGTATTTCCTGTTCCCCTCAACTCCAGCTGGAATTGTAGATGCTCTAAGAGCCTCCACAAAGCAGGACATCAATACTTATATACAGACAGTAACTGAGAAGTAATTTTGCCAGCATATATTTGTTATCATCAAAATTTTCATCTTTTACAGATATGAACTCTTATGACAAGACAGCTTGGCTTGGAATTTGATGGTCTATCAGTGATCCTTGCTGCAAGTGCCATGCTTTTTGTATTCTGATGGGTCCCTCTCTTTGCAAGACTTTCAGTGCACTTAGACCAGTGTTCAACCATATTAAAGGATACCTCGATTGGAATTAAGAGATCTCACAACACTAACAGACAAACATTTTAAAGGCTGCTTTCAACATTGCCTTTTCAAATCATACAATAAACTGAAAACAATTAAATACACTAATTTTCTTTTGATTCTTTTCTATCACTTCTTAAAAATTACAGAAAATAGACAAATGCAATTACATAAGTCTCATTTGCCACTTTGTAAATGCATTCCTTAGGAGTTAATTTCATGTTCTTACATCCTGTTACCTACCTGCCCTATATCGTAGGTGGGCAATAGCAAAGAATTTATAGACTTTATCAAAGACACAGCAAGTCACTAAGTCTACCTATCCTACTAGTTTAAAGTATCATAAACCAGATACATGCATCTTTAGTTTGCCTAAATGCTGTATTCTAGCAAACTGAATTAGAATTCTGCTGGTTCATGATTGATGTGTTCTGTAAAACTTCAACCTCTACTGCTTTCCCACTACAAAATGGGGATAACAGTGATATATACACACACATTATGGAGTGCTTTTTTTAAAAAAAGGAAAACAACACAACAACCCAGAAACTAATGTTTTGTAACACACAAATGCTTTTAAATACCAATTTTTACTAAAGGGAAAAAAGAATGAAGGCCTACTTTGCTTGTCAGTGTAAGAGCCTCAACAGCTCAGAAAAGCTATCAAGAGAAAGCAGAATAATGTGTACCATGGGAAATGTACACTACCAAAAAGTATCACTAACGCATATATTGATGGCTTATTGCTGGTAACTAGCAAACTCAACCCATTAATGTAAACTCTGCCATTCTCAGTCATAGGTCCTGGGCTGTTGCACTGTCTTATGCTACTTTACCTGCCTTTATTTTGAAGCAGACAGTACATCACAGCCCTCCCTTTCACAGACAGATGGTATTTTGCCCTTTGTAATGCCTCCAACCCATGATTCCACTCTCAGTAAATCCAGGAGACAGTAAATATGTATTGATGAAACAACTGCTCTAAAGCCCACAAGCCAAAAAACCAGGAATATATGCAATGTGATCATCACTTCACGCACTTTGCAGACGTCTTAACCATTTTTCATTAAGAAAATTTCCTTCCTGATGGGCTGTCAGCAGGTAGCCAAAATACTTTTACCAATAACAGAACTATAGCTAATTTGCTAGCTGTATAGTAAGCTTCAAATTCACAATATTGAAGATGATGACAAAACACCTACTTCATATGTATTCATACTGTTATTTAGAGTGTCAAGAACCTCACAGCACATCATCTTAATGGGCTGCATCAACATGCCTTCTTTTCCCTATTAAGGAGAGATGTGGAAAAGGCATAAGCATTCTGCTTGAGTAGGAGCATTTAAACCATGCCTATGTTATGGTTAAACTAACCTCAAAAAATACCAGCTGTTTCTGTAACTGAGATGAGACTCATGATTGAGACCATAGAACTTACAATCTTTGATAGGCATTTAAAAATTACAGTTCAGAGTCCACTGCTCCCTTTCCTTTTTACTATCCGATCCCACCAAAAGTCACAGTCTTATAGATTCATAGAATGGTTTGGGTTGGAACGGACCTTAAAAGATCACCTAGTTCCAATCCCCCTGCCACAGACAGGGACACCTTATAGACTAAAAGACTGTCTACAATTTTAGTGTTTGGCATTCTCCTGATGAACATGAACCTCTACAGAACTCAAAACCTGATTTTTTACAGTAGGGATGGGAGTATTTTAGGGACCAGGAAGGGAGAAGCCAAGGTACAACACACTGCTGATAACTAGTTAAGATGCACAGGGACTCCAGCCAGCAAATTTAGACTACAGCATGGTTGACCTAATCTGCATCATCGCCTGGGAGAAGATCAGGGACTCCTGAAAGTCTCCCCAGCAGGTTCATTTCAACTTCACATAGCATAAAACTGATGAAGCAGAGAATAAGGCATATTAAACTGAAATAAAAGTATAAAAAGCATAAATGCATTATCTTAATGCAGGACATAGTATCCTTTATATGATCCTACAGTAAGCTATGTGCAGATTTTCTCTTTTATTTGGTGCCACATCCAGTGGTAACAAGTCACTCAGGCAAACAGAGATCTTCAGATGGTAGGGAAGATCTTGCTCTTGAAATCAGAAGACACAGAGTGCCATGAAGACATAACACAGCTTGACAGCAGAGTGAAAACTAACTTCAGTCTAAAGTGATAAAAGACTCTCACTTAAGTTTCGTATAGCCAAAGGATATTCAAGTTGCAACAAGTATGTCAGCGAGTTGATTGAGGTAGAAGGAAAAAAAAAAAAGCCCAACATATTCCCCACAGTACTTTAGCCAATCCACATGTTTCATAAGCAAACAGAATTCAGGAACACCTCCAAGATAGTATATATACCTTTTTTTTTTCCCCGTATTCATAATCTTAGTTCTAAAGAGTAAAGACCCTTTATTTGCACTTGTTTAATGTGCTTTTTCTTAAGGCACAGCCATCTTTACAACAAATCCTTTACACAACACTTCCAGAAACTTGTTACTTTAAAACACAGCAAAACTATCAAGAACACAGACTATTTAAGAACACTAAATACTCTTCAGTCTCAAAAAGTTTTATCCTTTCTACTATCAGTAGATTAGTAGGCAATTCATGTATGCATTAAGCAGCCCAGCTTCCAGTACATTACCAGCACTGCTTACTCTAAGTTTTGTTTCTTCAAAAAGCACTAGCCAGTGAGAAACTCTGTATATCAACAGAACCACAAATACAGTTGGATGTCAAGTACTGTAACTTAGTAGAATGTGGCTTCTATTAGTATCTTGCAGTTTTTCAGTGAACAGACTGATACTTCTGTACATGAAATACTACTACAGTCCTTTAGAGTTAAAACTAACCAGAGAACAAGTCTTGTACATGAAAAAGTTTCTAAAAATGTAACAAGACACGCACTTATGCTTTCTCCCTTTATCAAACCCTTCTAGCAACTGCATTTACTTCAAATCCTTGTTATTAAGAAGTTCCAGTAGATTGGGTTGTTAAAAAATGCAAGCTACTACAAAGTGACTGCAAAACTGAGCTGTCTGTTCTCAGAGGGCAGCCATCTGGGCTTGTTTATGTTTTTAACTTTGTGGAACAGGGAGTTGCTCTGTTAGAGACGGGACACCCTCGGGAAGGAAGTATCCCACAGAGCACTGTCTGCCTCTAGCTACGCATACAAATTTTGTTTCATTCTGGTCCCGATTTCAAAAGACTATTCAACAACTATGAGTAAAGTATTTGGAAAAAAATAGTAAGATGAAACTGTAAGACTCCTGAGGTATCTGCCAAGAGACTGGGGTGGGCATAAGAGGGGAAACTACTCCTGCTACACAGCTAAGCAACAGACTTACTTCTGCATAGAGTAACAAGGACAACAGCAGCCTGTTTTCAGAAGTTGAGCGCATTTTAAAAAATTGTTATTCAGTTAATGGTCAGGCACAGTGTACTTTCTGAACCATCACACTGCAATCAGACAACCATTACTAAAAGCTGGTACGGAAGGTAGTATCTGACTCACAGGAAACTAGGAAAACCTCTAATAGTTTTTAGCCAGCTTCCTTCACAAGGACAGTTGTGTAATTTGGAGGGTTTGGTTGTTAAAAATACTTCAGTAGTTTCCATTGTAATTTTATCTCAGTGAGGACCTTCGTCATGATTTTTGTTTCAAAATAAAAGTCTTACATTTTGGTTAGCTTTAATAAAAGTATCTAAAATTTACTGTAAGTCAAACAAGACAGAACTAAGTTAAATCTTATTCCTTCCTTTCTCAGAATAGTAAAGATATAACATAAAAAGATACCTTCTAAAGTAAAATCCAGCAATACATATTCATAAGCAGAATCCGTCTTTGTTTCAACTTGTGGTCTCTTCAATGTAGAAAAGATTTTTCCAGGGCTGCTATCATCTGGGTCTTCCAGCTTTCTCAGTCCGCACCCCATGGCAAGATCTGCAAATGATTAAGTCACAGGAAGAGGTGGGGGGAGCAGCAAGATCTGTCGCTCTCACTACAGGGGAAAAAAGTAACCAAATAATTCCCTTTGATTTTGTTTTCTATTAGCCATAAATCCAAGCACAGAAAAAGTCCGTTTCCCAAACCAAAAAGCAAAGGCACCTTCCATTCATTTTTTGTATAGAAACAGTAAGACCATGACGATTTCAAGCTACGAACTTGGTTAAGATTAGGCTTGATTTCACAGCAATGTTAGAGCTGCTACAAACTAGCAGAGATTTTTCCATGCCACGTCAATTTACAGCCAGCCCCCTATCAGTGCTCTCTTGCAGAGGACACCAATAGTGCTTTGTTTGTTCTTCTAGACAGACTGGGTAAGGGGGGGGCAGTAGGGGGAAGAACAACTGAAAAAGAAAGTTAGAGAGAAACTGGTCTGTAATTACTTACCTCCAGAAGTTCTACTCAACTGCAGTAGCAAGTCAGAGAGAAAAAAACAAGTTAGTCAGAATGAAAGAATGAGAAAAGAGCCTCAACATGGTTGGAGACGAAAATCATTTCCAGAAAGGAAGTCAGCTTCAAGAGGAAATTGCTTCTGGCATCTCAAAGGGTAGAAAAGTAAATGAAAAGCAGTTTAGTCCTTATTTTAGATCACAAAGTTAGGTTCCTATTTCCTTTCCACAGGAACTTTCTTCCAAAGGAAAAAAAACATGAACATAATGTAATATACTGTAATAATGTAAGAATATGTAGTAGAAAATTTTCATGTCAAGAAAACCAGTAAGAATCTACATTGCTAGTCATCTTACGTAACTGGTTTTGATAAACACCAAAAAACCGACATTGAAATATTCCTCATTTCAAACGAGAAAGACTTTTTCAATGTTATATATGAATGTAGTTACAAGACTTCATTCCCCAGTTTTCATGGGTATTGAGCAACTGAAAGCCTCTTCTCCTCTGTCAGGCTGACCTCAGTCAGCACAGCCACAGACTTTCAACACTGTTTCTTAAATTTTTTTTTTTTCCTTTAAGTCCTGAAAATTTAGTATAATTTTAAGGGCTCTCATTACTCTTACATTAACTACTGCAAGTCACTTGTAACTGTATTGCACCTGATGCAAGATCATGATAATGCATGGGAAAACAAAGGAACAGTGATTGATTTTCTAAGGCCCTGTTACTGTCAGGGTGGGCAGTTAAAAAATTTACCTTTTTATTTTCAGACTGTATCTAGACAAATTAAAAGTCATCTAGAGAAAACCAGAGATTCATAATACCATTTTGGATTAAAGGAACGGCACATTTAAATTTGAAAAGCTTTTTACTTTTTTTTTGGCCACTGAAAAATACTAAACTTATAAAAAAATGCCCACGCTTTCTATAATCAATCACTGCCTGCAAGTTAGGCATTAACCATTTGTGGTTTTCTTCCTGCTGTACTGCAAGCAAAGTGGTCTAGCTTTTAAGTAACTTACCAGGAATGATTAGTCTGCAGTCTATATCCCCTTTGAAATCCACATTAAAGTTACTTAACTTTGGAAAAATTTAAAAATCACTGAGTGCAGAGCCTATGCAATGATTACAACTTCAATACTACAGCCTTTAAGACAAGCTCCCAGTTCTGGGGAGTTCTCTGCTGAAACCAAGAGGAAAACCCTCAGTGTTGTCTTGATTAAAATTTAGAAAAACATACCAAATAAGCAGAATTCTTCAGCTTCCTGCACATCTGCTTATGCAGAAATTGCTCCCAAACACTATTTTTTTTTCCCCCCCCTCAGTAAAGGTCATCCCTGAATTGTTGCTATACCAGACATACATGTAAACTGTCCACTCGGCCTTGCGAATCCTGCTGCTTCATTCCACACAGTCATTGAGATTCACTGTATCCACCTGTATAAAGCTGTTGCATAACTAAGCTGCAAGTAAAACAACTTCTTGCAGCACTAGTCCAGTTGCCAGCTGGTTACTTTTTGAAACTAAAGATAGCTGCATTTTTACTGAGGCCAGAATATTGTATTTTGAACTCTTTGTGATAAGGCTTAAACAGTATTTCAATGCTTTCACCAAGACAGGATTTGTCATAGTATATACAAACTCTCATGAAATCAGCACAAACACCGTTATGGATAAAAGCAATGGTTCTTATTTTGCGTAACCCAAGATTAGTTAAGTAGTTACAAGCTTCAGTCAACAGTTGCCATTGCAGAACTTGTGAGGGGAACTTGACTCAAAACTCAGTAGACTGAACCAGTGGAACCAAAGATCCCACAGGTCAGAATAGAAAACAAAACAAAACCAATCAAGAACTAGCAGCATCCATCACAGGAGTTCAAAACTGCATCAGAGCACCAGAATGTCTTGGGAGAAGAAAAGGATTGTAGCATTCCTGGATTCAAGAGCTGCTTAAGGAACTGCCTGAATAGCTACAGTATCCTGTTGCAAAGTGGATATAAACTACAGTACGGTTTATAAAGTTTGGAAGTCCATTTCCAGTGACCCAAAACGCAAAGGTTCTGGGAACTGGTATCAGAGGAGAACAGATTCCTAAAACTACACTGTGATTCACTGAGGTATCACAGTAACCCCCACTGAAAGAGCATGTGACTCATTCATTGAAGCTTAATGTAACTTTTAGACTTTTTAAAAGGCAAAAGATAGCCAAACAATAGACCAATTAATCCAAAGGAACTATGTTTCTGTGGAAGGCTTCCAGGACCCCCCTTTGGGTTTTATGCTGAAAAAAGGGAAAAATAATACAAAGATAGTAAAAGCATACCAACAGGAGCGCATGTTCAGTGCTGGACTACTGACATCTTTCAGTGCACGATGAGGCAGCAACATTTCGGCACAGTAGTTTTGATCAGAAAGTGAGGTAAAAAGCCTTACTGTCCACCCTTACATCAGGGTTGTTCCTGTCCCTTGCTCATGATGTACTTTGTTCCCTGTTGTCAGTGTCATGGGAGGTTTGAAAACACTTGTGCAGGAGGCATTTTTGTCTTTCTTGCTACATTACTAAAAACTTACTGAACGTTAAGGACATCATCTGATGCTTGAAACTGATGTTTTGAAAAAGATGTCCCTCTGCTCCTGACTCCATGCTGATTTGCTCACCGTTAGCTGTTATTGGTGTCCAAGGCAGGCTCTCTGTATTTGGTATCAACACTGTAGACAAGTGGTGTTGGCACCCCTTTTTGATGAAATTTCTCTTGCTAGAATTAGAAAAACACCACACTGTTTTTGCAACATCTGTTATAAAACAACTTTAATACAAAGCCTATTTAGAAGAATGCCTTCTCTTCTCCAAAACCAAATATGACCTGTATAAGCCATTTAATAAAATACAGTTTAAACTTTGCCTCCCCCAGCATCTTAAAAGATCAAGAATGGGAGACAGTACCTGACAGCAGTATGTTCTTTTCTCAAGTCATCTGAGCTTCCTGTTGATTAAAATCATAAAGCATAAGGAAAATGATGAAAACAGTGCAGGCAAAGAAGGTTTTCCTTGTCTGTGCACAAACAATATCAAAGTAAAAGCTAAAAATAATAAATAAAAATTCAGGGAAATTGACTTATAAGCATTTAATTTTTAAATGGACACCAAAACTCAAGAAAGATCATAAGCTACTAAATCTGCAATTCAGAGACTCAGCTATGCCACAATCCATAGCAAACATTTCCTTAAAAGGCACCTCTCCTTCTGATTAGGATATGGGCTAGTATGTTAAAAGCAGAAGAAATCATACTGCTTTAATGCTACATTAACTTCAAAAAACTTCAAAAGCAGCAGTGTTTTAAATTTTAAAATATGTAACAAGGACATGGTAAGAAGGGCTATAAAATTTTTCAGTAGTATCGCAATCATGACAAATGACTCCTGCTCAATCACATGATTTAGAAGCGGCTGTCATCTGAGAGGAGAACATGTGACACTTGCCAGCCTGTTAGACCACCACTGGGACAAAAACATCACTGGTGGTCTAGCTGCCAGAAGGGTATTCACTCCAACATTTGAGTGCATGAGCTTACCTGGAATACATTCACTACTACAAGCTGCACAGCCTTTAAAGATCCATTCCTACGCTTGAGGTTAGAGAATAGTGAGCATCAAATATACAAATACCTTAAAACTGTATCAATTACCTAAAGAATAAGTTATTACTATTTACAAAGATTTCACCAACACCAAAACCGACTCAACTAACAAGAAACAGAAGGGATAACTCAGTTCCTCTGACAAAATCAAAATGTAAAGTATTTGGACCAAACGTGTTTCCCACTTGGGATCATAACCACCCATGTTTGCAGCTTAAAGGAATATAAGAGGATCACTTAAAAATAAATAATCAGCATTATTATTGGCTATGGATCAGTCATCACTGACACAGAATGTTTTTAAACAGAAGACAGACACATTTACCAGATACAATGGGCAAATTATAAACACAAGCTAAATTAGCCAGATATCTCCAGAATCTGAGGCTATCTGAACAGCTACAGGACTCAATACATTAAAAAACTCCTAGATATTAATCATCTCAAACTGCAACACTTTTGAACTTCACAGTTGCTCTCTGAACTTTTTTTGGCTTATTTCGTTTTATGACTGAAGGCAAATGTAAAGTTTTTATCCTGTCCCAAGCAACGACAGAAAAAGCAAAGAAATTCCATCAGAAAAATTATGCAATTTAATTGTCAAGTATTTTTCACATCCCCACCCCCAAGAACTATTACTTTAACTAAAACAAAACACTGATATTCAGTTATTTTTTTATGTAAAATGATTTGATTAGAACGGATCTGTCCATAGTTTATTTAAAGCTGTTAGGAAAGCAGCAGTGTTCCATTCTGAAGGCTCCTTGGTTTGGTAATTAAAAAATTTTGTTTTCCTTCACCCAAATTCCCCCCCCCCCCCACCTTTTTTAGAAGAAAT